TGTTAATTATTACAACACTAGTTCAACTAGAAGGTAATATTTCGATGCAGGCCAGGTGATACACTTACACACCGCATTCTTTATTTTTTYTAATATTCAAAATAACTTTCTACGTAATATAAARTTTTTGTCGACATAGAAATTGATTTTTCCAACCCATTTAATCCGAATATAGTATATTAATAAAAAATAAATTTTACTTTTAACATATTTTATCAAATTTGTATCGTGTTACAAGGTTACAGATATTGCATAGAAATATAAAATGTTTGATTATTTATCTCTTATTTCTAWAAATACCATCAAATGAGTTCCGATCCATAGTAACAATTTGACTTATACGTTAAACCATGGGTGTTTTTTTTAGTTTATAGCTCACTCCAAGTCGAAACAAAATGCACAATATTGTATTTTGAGTGAGTAAGTAGGTATAGATTTGAATGTGAGCAGGTATTTTATTTATCATTCGTATTTTCTAACTTGAATGCGTTTAAACAAATAATAGTCAATTATAMTTAAACTATAAAATGTACTCATCATTCTATTAAGGAGGTGTTTTTATAATTATAACATGTGCTTCAAAAATGTTGCTCTAGTAGGTATTATATATTCATCATCTAATCATATGAGTATATGACAGGTAATATTATGTTGAATACATGCCGAAATTCTTCTAGCTACTAACGTCTATTAAATACCCTGAAGTCACAGGGACGCGAATGGTAATATCGGGTTCGTGATAGTGGTATAGCTACTGTCCAATTACGAGCGTTTCGAAAGTTTTGTACGCGATACGAATAGTAAATCAACCTGGATTCACCTTTTTCAGAGATATACACTACTGGTTTCTTCGATATACCTACAGCGACTGCAAAAAAAGGGTGTCGTGGACAATATCATTATCGTAGGTAGCTAATAAAATAATATTACAGACTTGAACGCGTAATCTTAAATAACATTTCGTAATCAGTATAAATTTATAACCATTGTCATATATTGTTTATTTATCCATAAACTATTAAACAGTTAAAGGCGTGCTTAGTGTCTTAGCAATATATTATTATTATTGTCTTTATGTAGCTGCTTATATTTATATATTATTTTCATTATTATTTATAATAAATAGCGCAAAATTAAGTGGTTATTATTGTAGTGAATTGATATATACGATTGTAGAGTTCATCGAAAAGTATATTATGAGGTATATTATATAAGTTGTATTAATTTATTTTCAGAGTCACAATATAATGATAATATTATTGGATTTGATTTTTTATTTGTAACCAAACGTAAATGAAWAGAAGCAGATMTACGATAGTAAGTACAACAGTTATGAGTCCTTATGACTCATTGTGGATCTTTCGTAGTTATTTAAATAGTTCTTGAAAAGTGTGACAATTATTATAATCAGTGCTATATTATTAAACTACGTACATTTATTTTCAAATCTGTTTTCCTAAGAGTAGACGAAGAAATATATATTTTATCTACATTAAGTTACACGTATATAACATAGAACAATAAAAATAATAATCCTAAAGAAGTTATTTCTTCTGATAACATATTTTTATCAATAAACTGTGTAAGAAAATTTGAAACTTATCACCGTAACAATGTTAACATTAATTTATTATATAGTACAAATAACATTCCATTATTTWAAAAATTATATTACATTATATATTTATATTATAAATTAAGTTAAATCCTTCCATCGCCGTTCCTCATCGTCACTAATAAATCAATACTATAAATTTATAACTTTATAAGACTTCAATTCTACKCGTCTATGCGTTTTAAACATTCACATGTCGAGAAATAAAAAACGAGCATTTTAAAAACATTACTTAAATACCTATTTCAAATATCGCAATATCATAAAGTGATTATAAACATTTAATTTATGTTATGTTAAAATTATTATAATCCCTATATCATGGTTATGAGTAGATCAGCATTTAATGTACCTAAATGCTCGATTACATTTTTTTAAATAGCACGGTATTCGCCTTGTACCTAATTTTCTATATAAATTTATTATATTATATATAATATATTATTATATATAATTTAAAATTTATTTTATTTTTCAAATCATCGTTATTATTATTACCGCATACATCATTTAGTCGGTTCGACGGAAATGCATGCGTACATAGTATATTTTTCTATCAAAACACGTTTCCACAGTGCGTATAGTTTGTAAAAAAAATAATGTATATTACATATTGGTGGTTGAAAGATGAATCGGCGCGAAGAGGACGTGGTTATTAGCGAACACAAGTCACCTCTGACCCGCCGACATTTTGTCGGCAACAGACAAATGACTTACCTACTCTCCACTTTCTAACTGCACGCGTATGTAATATACAAATGGGCGCGGGTGACCATCTTATAATACGCATCACTAGTTTACATGCGCTGAACGTTCACGCTCGCATTGTGACCGTGTGTCATCATAATAGGTATATATATTATAATACGCTACACGATTTGTTAATTGTTAACATGAAAACAATAGCTCGGTCGGACAATTATTATATACGATATACGAATGCCTCCCACTCCATCCACTAACAACGAATACCAACCCAGACATAAACACCACACACACACACACACAAGTTGCAGATCGATCCATGTTCGTTTGAGATGATCTACTGTCCCAACACAATTTGCCAATCGTCAATATTTATTATTGAATGGTGCAGTATAAAATGTATGAATATTAATTTTTATTTTTGATATTTTWCTATAGCATATAGTTGAATAACGTGTTTAACTTAAGCTATAATGCAATCATTATATAACTGCGTGCTTTTAATTCGTCTGCAGTTCTGATATTTAGAACTTCTATTTACTAAACTTCCACGTGTTTTATAATGTTATACACTGTASCGTATAAGTTTATGACTCAGACAATTTCTTCGAAAGCACGAGTGATAGGATATATTAATATAAAAATTTGTTGGAAATATTCATACACCTTTTACTATTAAACCCGTCGAAAATATCACATTTTATTAACCCACTATGCACACATCGATTGACTTRAGTGTTTTTTTTCATACTTWTTTGCCATGTAATTACCTATACGCGTATCACAATACAACTGCTGAAAGTATCAATTACATTTCTGGTCAGAGAAAACTATCGATCGGTACGCCTGCGACTTTATTGTTTCACGGCTAACTGGCAAAGGAGGTGYATAAACAATAACGATAATAATAATAGTATCTACTATTATTGGTTTGTTTGCAATTGTATACACACAAATGTCGACATAAGCGATGACAAGTTAATATATTATGTTTAATACTTTAATTGTTCATTCGCGTATATCATTGTTGTTTGTGCGAGTTATGTTATTATTTTTATTTCCATCTCGAGTGATATCGTCTATATTTCTCGTACAACGCGAGTCGTTTGACGTGTCCATAATGCATGTTTCGTTTCTTTCCACATCACACACACACACACACACACACCACCACCACCACCATCACCACCGTAGTCATTATACACCCTCTCGAAAAGTTCTCGTTCAAACTTTATAATAAAACTACCATCGACACACAGACCACGCACGAGCTTTAATAAGGCTTTCAAAAACGTTATTTTTTCGGTACGTGCGTGAGATTCGCCTTATATGTAAATTAAACTGTCCAATGGTTATTATTTATTACATTTGATTTTCATACATCTATCCATCCCTTATATATATTATAAATAAAAGAAACGTTTATTAAACGAAACATGTGCAGCTTCTACGTCGAACAGTGAGGCACTTATTATAGGTAGTATTAACGCAATCGCGTATTGATAATCATTGGGTATAGGTGTCCAACACATCGCCGCCGGGCCGAGGAACGTTTTAGCTCGTGACACGATTCCGAACTGCTATATAGCAGCTGTGGTCTACAGCGCAGTTGATTTTTTTAAATATTTTAAATTTAACAACACGAACCAGTAAGATTCTCATGATATTTAATATTATACATTTTTTTTTAAAATTCGATAGTCGATCATATTATGTTCTGTTTCTCCTGTATATCGTATGTAAATATAGGTATATACTATATTTTAAGTCCAATAATGTTTCTATAAAAGTATATTATGATTATACTTATTTTAATATTGTTATGCATACCTACAGCGATTAACTTGAAATAAATGAAATAGATTTATAATGAATTAAGATTTTACGGTAAATATAATATCGAATTTATATGATATCACATTATTAGTTCAATTTTTCTAATTTCGTATTAAAAAAAATTGTAAAATATGTAAGCGACATTTAAKTAGTAGATCTATTAAAAAATTGAAAAATTATTATTTTTTCTATAATATGTTTCATCCATTTAAAGTATAATACATTTATAGTCTTAAATACAATTTAAAATTTAATTATATTCAGATACGCTTATATATCATACAAACACGTGGAAATTAGAATTTACTCTCGTTTCTCATCCCTAGATAATGTTTACTTATTTTAATTTCTCAAGACGGTAACCTAAATATTTCTAATAAGTAACCTATGTAACTATAATTCAAAATGACGAAATTAATATTAACCTCGGTCGTGTAATTAACTGCGTGGATCATCTAAACGTCGTGTATAAAACATTTACGCTGCTGTCTTAGGAAAAAGATCGCATTTGTCTTAAATATATTTTAATTGAAAGATATATTATGTAATAAAGTATGACAGAATATTAATTACTCAAAGCCTGAAAGAAAAATTATATAGGTGCACTTTAATTGTTGAAAGTACCTATTAACCATAAAGTTATCATTATAAATTAATAAAAAATAAACCAATCTCATATAATAATGTACCTAAAGTTTGTATTAGGAGACTTTAATGGGATGTAAATACAATATAATAGTTTTCAGATAAATTTCTTCTAATTTGARTTTAAACCATCACCTGCAGGTTCTACAACCACTACGTGGCTAGAGTATGTTTTTTTTAAATTAAAAAATAGTCTTACCTTATTGAGTATTCCGCGCTTAAAGTTTTCTCTGCTGTACTTTCCGTTCACACTCTCCAACTCCAGATGTTGAGCACACTTCCTTAACATTGACGCCCTCTCTCGTTCCTTGATACTTTCCATTTCCATAACGGACATATTTGGCGGTTTCCGCGTAAGTTCTACGTCTACCAGACCGTCTACCGATGTCGGTACTTGGTTAATGGTTCGGCCACTCGGACAACTTGGTTCCGTATCATCGTTGCGTGTGTACTTGTTTGCCTGCGGGTCTATGTCCCATGCGACGGACATGTCTCTAAGTCGACCCAACGATTTACGCCTGATAGCAGTGTCGTCGTCACCGCGTACCGAGTTTTGCTGTTCCATAATGATTTCAGTATAGTATTCAGTGCCTATGCATGTCTGAAACATAAATTAAGACAATATTTAAATTTTAAACAATATACCTACGTATACATAAAATTGTATATAGAAATATAATAATAGATTGTTAGGAACTAAATCCACTTATAATAATAATGTATTATAGTGTTATAGCCGTTATAGGTACACCGGTACACGTGATAGTTTTATTGTTTACGATTTTTTATAAATATTAAATTATTCATGGGTAGATAATATAATAATATATGACTTGTACAAAATACCTCAATATTTTTATTGAAATTATTAAGTATGTTTTTTGTGAGCCATTTAGGTGAAAGTCAAAATAATATCGATTTATTTTGTTTTAATCTATAAATTATCAAAATATAATACTATTAGACTATGATATATTATCAAATTCACGTTAATAGACACACACACATACGCAAAAACGGTAAAAAAGTTATATTTTAGTGGTTTATTTAATCAATTATTATTTTATCTTAAAACTATTAATAGTCATACATTTTATTTTTTATTTATCGTGTTTATTGGAAAGTGTTATATAACTGTTGAATAGGTACTCATAAAATACTCCTCATCGTAATAAATATCTATAAGAATGCCGTAAATTATGATATTTTTAAATATTTTACCACACCGAAAGGTAATAGGTACTTTATACCGAATGAAATCGTTTTATTTTGAGAGGAAGTCTGTTATAGAATATTACATTAATCTATCATCAATTACGATTTAGCACCAACGTTTTCAGAACCAAATAATACATTACTGGGTGCGTATATCAATTCTTATTACCCGTTGACCGGTTAGGATTTCGTGAGTAGCCCGCCCAATCGATTTTTTTCTATTTACATTGTTCGAACAAACATACACATCATTTCACTGTCAGATTGATCTCTCATACGGTTTCCAAAACGGCACAGCAGTTGGTCGGTCAGTCAGTCGGTATTATTATTATTATTATTATTATATTATTTTATATGTATGTAATGTTGATTGATCGACGATTAAAACGGTGTAGGTACTTTATCGATTCCGACGCCGTAACAAGATCAGTTCAGTTGGTTTTTACATGCATGCTTTCTTCAGGTCAAAAACGATGTCGTGCGTCTTAAGCGACCGGCCATAAGTCTCGAAAAAGATAAACGTTTATATTGTAGTCACACAAGTCACGAATCACTAGCGTTTACACTTACAGTAAATAATGACGCTAAAAATAAATGCTTGTACTGCTGTAGTCGAGATTGATGTATGACAACGATTTTATTAGATTCAAAAGAAATTAAAAATCTCATGTTGTATAATATTTTAAACAAGCTTAATTCGTTAAAAAAATTGAACACAAGTCATAAAACATATAAACTTATATGAAAAATAATAAATACTGAACATTAATTATCTACTGGATTTCTGAACTAAATTAAAGTTATCTACTTCTGGAGTAGGCGATTTTATCAACTATTAATTAATAACATATAAGTATTTTTCATATAAATTTTTTTAATTAAAAAAAATGTATTTTCAATTATAAGTATTAAATAATATGATTAAAAAATGGATTAAAAAAGATATATCTAACATTCCACTAGTGCAGTTTCACCTGTAAACGTGTAATGCTAAATTATTATCATCGATTTTTCGCTTTTTATAAGACCTCGAGACATACTCCACGTTTCATAAAATATCTTTATGTATATTTTGTAACTGCAGGCTCCTATTTTCTATCAATAATAAGCCTCACTTTCAATTATAATAAAATGTATTTTTAATAAGTGAAGTATAGTTGGATTTTTTTAAATACGCTTAAACAACAGATGGTAATAAATACATAGTGGATTTCATAGAGATCGTAATATTTAAAATCAGTGACGTTGAACAATTTTAAAACGTTTTCCTTGTAAAACAAACGTTGTATATCTTATAACATAAAAACCTAGTGTCTGATGACCAACGATAACATAACTCGTTTGCATATAATACAGGTAGGTAGCTAAAATCCGAACTAAAATCAATATTATAATAATTTCACTTACGCATATTTGACTTCTACACGAATATAAATAATGTACAAAAATATAATTGCACAAAAGTTTATTATATCTAAAATAAATAATAATGGTATATTTTAGGTAGGTTAAGTAAAATACAATGTTAACATAATACTATATAAATTACTAGTGGTGCCTATTCGTCATTGGTGTACATATTATAATAATACATTTTTAAATATAAGATAAAGTAATAATTTTTAAGAATACAAATTATATACATTATATCCATAACCTATTTTCGTTTACAGAGTTAAATACAGTAAGCAACAATGCCAGCATTGATAGCATTTAATATTTTAATTATTATTAGATAATTAATTAATTAATTGTTAATCATGAAAATTTAGTAATTTAAGTGGATAAAGTTGTTAAAAAACATAGGGCTATGACTTATTGGGGTAGCCATATTTATTTATTTTTATAATCGAGTCTGGACATACCTTTTTCGTATACATAATATGGGAAACATTTTATCAATCCTACATGTGGTCAGCCGACAGTATTAACTATTAACACCATATTTTTTCATACCTAGAAAACCACTATAATGGTTACCACGTATTACGAAACATGTTTATGAGGTAAAAACTCAAACTACTCAAAATCTCAAACTATAAAACCGAATAATGAAGTGAAAAATTATTAATGAGTGATAAATACAATAATTGTCTGGAGAAAACAGCAAAAATGAACTATTCGTATTCAATATTGATAATATTGTCAGTTATATTCAAGTTCACTTAATCAATTTATCATTTTTGAAACTATAGTGTAGTTTTTCTACTAAAAATACGTTGGTTATAAAAAATGACATTTTAACACAAATTAATAAAAGGTTAATTCTGAGACAAATGGTCGTATACACTGCAATTGGTGTGAAAATTAGTTATTATCAAGATCGTCCACAAAAACATTTTATCCGGGACACCGAGACCGGYGAGACATTAAATTAAAACCGATATATTACTGTCTGAAACCGGTAAATTATTTGGCAATTCTAAACTAATATCGTTTTTCGTCCAAGCATAAATTTACATACTTATCAGCTTTGAATTAAATACCAACGTAAGATATGTAAGATGTTATTTCTTGTTAAAAGCGTATTCATTTTAGTCTTTTTCATTCATACATTTTTGTTTAATATTTTAACAATGTATAATCACATATTAAATATTATTATTATTGTTGTTGATGTTAAGTTTTTCTCAAAAATATAAATTTGAAAATAAGACATTTTTTATATTAATCTGAACATGAACAAGATATAACTATACTTAAAATAATTTTATATTGCTGTCTGGGATGTATAAATTATAAGTTTCCTAAAATGTTATGAAATTAACATTCTGAAAATATTCTTGTACTGATTAGATTAAAATAATTTTATATTGCAGTAAAACAGTATACATGCATATTATAGTAATATACCTACAACTGTTATATTTATACAAAATTGTTGTGCATGGTGTACTGTTTTTTCATAAATAAATTAATGAATACTCTTGTAAATATAGGTAAGTAATATATTCTTACATTCGTACTTAATTATATAATTATATAATACAATTATACTATTTTACTTTGAGATTTTTTGCAAGTAGAAAATAAATTTGAAAAGATAGTTATAGTCTATATTAGATATATTATACGCGTATGTTTATAATACATTTTAAAAGCACCAACATATATTATTAAGTACTTGTAACCATATACTTTATTTGAGACTGTACTACTAACCCCCGGCTGCGTGTAACGCCAATAAAATTTGCATAATTCTGCAGTAGGTACCATGCCATTATAATGGCAGGCACATAGCTGTTTGTATTTTTCATTTTTCATTTTTAGTATTTTTTTTTTTTTTATAACCAAGCTGTTTTTTATGATTATATTTCACGCGAAACCAATTGATATAAGCCAGTTGAATAATATTGTATACTGCAGTATGTGTCGTGTGCAGCGGTGCACTCTGCTGCAGTGGACAAATTAGCCTCATTTGTTCGTTCCTCCGAGAGTCACACAGCTGTATGAATCATTAACTGCAGCAAGCTGCACTATTATAATAATCATAATATTAATATATATATTAGGAAAAAACTCCACTAGAAATAGACAGGTACGTAAATATTATGTATCCGGAATAATGTTTACACATGACCACGTTATTGTGTCGTGACCAGCTAAATAAGCAATTAAAGAAACCGCGAGCAGAACTGCCGTTATATATATTATCTATGTATAAGCTCGCAGACCAATCAAATTCAATATTTTAATACGTCTTTATAAATCAAAAAAGAGCAAAGAAAAAATTGTGCATAATAATATTATTTATTGTAATTAATTGCCAAAAAGTTGTAGAGCTTGTTCATATACCTACTTATAACATCGTACTATAGTCGAAATTTATTTTATAATATCATTTAGACATTGTGCCAAAATAATACACACACAGACACGCGCGAGTATTACCTTAGGTCAGCACTCTGCCACAGCAGCAGTAGCACAAGTGTTTCGTCGCTGTATAATAACATTATGTGATATATTTTTATTGCAGTCTTTCATCGAACGGAATCGATAATCAATCATATCACTATTTCTCCGACTGTATAGTATAAAAAATATTACAGATAATAATGAATAACAGAAAAAAACAGAAAGACAGACAGACAGTACGTACGTATATATCATATATAATTAGCTATTAATTTTCGCGCAAATAGCCGTAGGTCTAATCTATGCCAAGTAAAACAGAAATCGCACAAATCAAAAACTGGATCTACATACGGTATTATTTATTTTTATGTTTCAGGGCAATATTTCTCAATAGGTAAGTGTACATTTGTCGAAGAATATTGATTGAGACGTTATGGGTATCTTTATATTATTTTCCAAATCATATTTTACTGTCAAACAATAGAAATAACAAGTTCGATTATTGATACCTACCTGTAATTGGCTATATGTTTTACAGTATATTATAGCGAAAACGAGGTGGCGTTTATGATTTTTTTTTAAATTGTTTCTTTTTACATAGCCCAATCACGTTTTAAAAGACTTAGGTCTTTAAAGAGTAATAAAATGGTATAGGTACATCATGCTATATACATAGATACACAATACCTACTACTTCTGTACTGTTGGGCCCAACCCGTTATTAATCAACAATAAGCTATATCACATACTATATAGAGTAGTAATATTATATGAATAAAAATATTTTGAGTATTTAATATTTTAATATATATTATATATGTAATACCTAAATAGGTGGAGTTATATATAAATTAACATGTTTTTTTTTTTTTTTATTATTTAAAATTAAGCCGCAACAACATAGATTATTGGCTGAAGTTAAATTTAACATATGGTGATAAAAGGAGGGATATTTATACAATTCAAGCTTGGGGTGTGAAGGTGTGTTTAGATTAGGTTATATAATTTATATAATTTTAAAAAGGTAAATATCTTCTGAGTGTTGTCGGGGTCAGGACCAAGAGCTTCGTAGAGATTGTC